TTTATTCACACGTTATCTACTTTAAGAACCGAAATTGCATTGATCAGAAGACAAGCATGGATAACTCAACGCTCATATAAACATCCATGTCTGATAACATTTATGCATTGATTGGTAATTATAGTTTGACCAATCACTATGCAGGTGTTTTGAGGTAATACATTTAACCCTTGATCGTTGCCAGTGGCCAAAGTTTCCAAAACTACAACAAATTAAATTGTGTAGCATCTTTTGAGGATTTAACTGTTGTCATGAACGCCTGGGGCCTTCTTGTTCCTATTTGTGGCTAATTTTACTTGCGATTAACCTTCTCGGTGACCGCACCGCCTCTGTCATTACTGCCATTAGGCATGCAAATTGCCAACCAAATTTAGATTTGTCATGGCGTGAATAGAAATTTACTACGGTAATTACCACAAATGTTATCACCGGCTTTTCAGTCAAAACTATCAGCCCAAAGAGACTGTGGAAATTCAATTCAAAAACAGGTCTCGCAAACACTGGGACAATGTCGTGCTGAAATTGAAGTATTCCCAGGTGATTCAAAAATCTTTTAATAGGCATGGTGGTTGCATGGGGCGAAAATGCGGGTTTTTGAAGGAAGCCGTACCTATGTTGCTTTTATTGTAATCAAGTTTGACAGTTTTTTCAACGCCCATTTTGTAATTAGAGCTCGAGTTTCCCAGAAGAGTAATGTTACCACCAATACTCGGCAAGGTGACATTTCGAATGTTCCAACTGTTAAGACATGTGAAAGTTGACTCAATTCCTAGAGCAATACTTGGCATTCAAAGTCCCTGGCCTTTTATTCCGCTTTAAAATGCATTGTATTCGTTTTGCATGTAGCTGAATGGATTTTGCTTTCAATATTGAAAACAGAAAAAAAAATCTACAAAATAAGACAAATCTGTACAAGATGATGTGTTTTCATCATCATTGCTTTGTAAAGCGAAATCCTATATTTTCAGAAAGTATAAATTGCTTTGAGATATTTGCCGGTCATACGTAAGGCGTTAATTGAAATAGTATTGTGCTGGTAAAAGCAAACACCAAACAACATACCCAACACCCAAAACCTGTTGAACGTTCGACAACAAAGTAAATTGTTTTTATTTATGGAAGGTAGTATAACGACCTCCGATGTGGTTTGGCATTTTTGAAATAATTTTAACATATATTGTTAACAACTATATATGTAATGTGTCAGTAAACCAACTACAATTCTTTTGTTTGTATTATGCGCAATTCAAGTTTCACGTTTTCACCAGCGAAATAAAAATAAGTATTTTCATTTCAAAACCTCAAACATTTCAAACGTTTAAACGTCGTTGCTCAACTATGACCATGTTTTCAAAGGTTAAGTGAGAATGATAGGATAGCCGCAATGTCATTTGCTGCTTTGATGGTAAAACAGGTAGCAGAAGGGGCTTGGAAATCAACTAGCCAAACTCGACCGCTCATGTAAAAATGTAAATTTGCTCCATCAAATGTACAAATATGTGCGGAATGAACATATTTACAAAGTTTATAATTTGAAAGAGGATAGACAATATTTGTGTATTATCTTTTTCGTCATGTGTTAAAACTTTTCAAAAGTCATTCCTTGCTTGGGAAATTCTTCGTTCATTAAATTTGTTTTTAATTATTACAATTCATATGGCAAACTGTTTTGTTATTTTCCTTTTCGGAATATTCTAAATGCCTTCATCACAATGTAAAAGCTTTGGATATCGAAAATATAATATTACAGAGAATCTCAACGCTAATCTATATTTAAGGAACAACATTAAGACATTGTGGCATCCTTTGTCAAGGCATTATTTCAAATGTGAGCATATACGGTGAGCCAATTTCTATTAAACGTGTGATGCATGTACAAGTGTAACAAATCGATCATAAAATTGAGTATATGTTAAAGATGTCAACATATATTAACAAGTTAATACACTTAAGATTCTTTAGGCATATTTCAGCACTGCACTATATAAGCAGACCCCCCCCCCCCAAACTAAAGTAACCTAGAAGACGCCAAAATCAAAATGAAAGTCTTATTATTATCAATATTATTTTGTAATGCCTGACTAATGGTTTACGTCGCACTGCGATGAATTGCATCCAAGACAACATGAAGTGTTTAGGGAATATGTCTCACATGTGTCATCCTTTTATAACGCCATCCGTCAAAAATCACGTCAATTTTGTGGGTCATCAAAATCTAAAATATAGCTAACAAATCATTCACCATGCTAAACATAGACACAGATATCGATAACGTATGTATCGAAACTAGAAACTGAAGTATTTTACGATAGACCAATTACTTGTATAATGGTGAATGCAATGCACGTCATTTTGATATCATTCGGAAATATTCGATTTCTTTTGTTCAGTTTGAATGTCACTGTATTTGATTGTGTTCGTGAGTGATCTGTTGGTCTCCTGTTCACGTACATTGTTCTCTTTTCAAAAGCGTGCGATTACTTGAATTTGACCTAAAATAACATCGATAGTTAAGGCGATGTCTAGTCTCCTCTAATATTTGGTATCATTTCCGCTTTTTTAAAGGAAATTATGTCAATCGTTTCTTTGTTTTTAGCAGGAATTACGAGTTAGATTACACTGAAGAATTTCCATTGTCGTTATATCAGTCCAGACTATATATATCGACTATCTAGTAGCAATTCAGGCATGAATTGCTTACGCTGCGGATGCGGTTACATTCCTAAACAACGTGCTACGCAAATGATAGTCAACAATCATGAAATTTGTGTAATCATGTTTAAACACAGTTTACTAGATGTTTAATCATTAATCTAAGAAAATGTCACGAAAAGAATCCGACGCGAGGAGTCTGTGTTTTTCGTACGTTCAAGTATTTGAGGGATACATGTGGACAAGTACGTTTCAAAAAGAAAAATGCACATCAAGTTAGCTTAGTGATAAACTACAGTTTTTGCATTCGGATTTAAGCCGGCGGCCACAAGAGAAGATGTGACCATCCTAGGACTAGACTAAGCATCCCGGAAGTTCTACTTCCTGAATAGTATATCATATACCGGAAGTTATATGTGCTTAAAGGTTATTTCATTCATCGAAATAGAAGCAAATGCATAATATTGTTAGCTTTGGTTGACATGATAAAACAGTTTCATACTTTCAAATGTTTCAAATGTGCAATTAAAGTTAGCATCGCCCTTAGTGTGACTTGGCCAGACGGATTGAGTTCAAAGAACGCATTAAATATGCTATTGCGTTCAAAAAACTATGTTCATTGTCTTCCAGATTACTTGTCACGTGTCACACAAATCAATGACGCAAGGACAAATTTATCTTCCGTTCATATTTCAATTCATCAAAATTGAATAAGTGTTCTTTATATGAAATTTGAATGTGATTTCGACAAACATATCGCAGCCTCCCAAAATACACACACATACACTACACGCATGCATCTTGCACACAGGGAAGGCCGTCCTTAAATGACCTTAGCTGTTAATAGGACGTTAAACAAAATCAAACAAACAAACAAACAAATCTTACTTACGGCTATACAAACTATCAAGGAGTTTTCAAAAATGTAACGATTGGTATCACATTCCGATAACCGTGTGTATATTACGTTTAACGATGTATGGTGTAGTTGGAGGATACACACCCATGTGTGTTCGCACTTTACTGCATTCACAACGCGCCCAATTACCGCTAGCTGTAAATAGTGTTCCAGTGTTCAAATACATACATCGGTACAGCCCCATATACAATATGCGTGCATTTGCCAGTATAATGTGACCTTATGTTTCGTTTCTACATCCGTATACGTAATGACATTGGGAAATGTTAACCGCTGATTGACGTCCACTTATATGTACGATAGAGCATGAAGTCGGTCCTAATCTGCCTTACAAAAAGTTTCCCTGCACATATATATAACCAGTCGGCACCAAGTCTCCAAATCAGCATTGTCATTTTAGTACATACTTCCCTTGGAGTTAGTTTAACGGGATCACAAGAAACGCGAAGAGCTTAACTCTCGCATGACAAATACATTCGTTAATTTAGATTAATGCATGCTGTGCGTTTCCCTATTCGGAGATTTAGATGCGCTCTCAAAATTTCGATTTTCTAAAAGATGATGTCAATACGCTTCATCTTAACTAAGGCATATGCAAAGATTTCGGTTTACGTTTATATATCACACACTCGGGAGATGGTAAATTCTAATAATAAAATAGTATCTTATAGCGCAGTTGATGATTTAAAGAAGTTGGTTTTATTCGAAAGTATTTTCAATTACTGTCATCATTAACAATAAAGTATTTCTTTATTCAAATTAGGATATAGCTGAGCTGTCGCCAATATGGCATTAAAAAAATATATCTTCACACCCAAATTTTCGTCAGGTCCAGTGCCAATATGCCAGTCACAGACCAGGCACGTCGAAGAGCACTGTGATGGGAGTTCGATGATAGTCACGGTACCCATTTGTGCGGACGCAATTTCATATGTAATCAACGGTCTTACCATGAGATGATGTTATAGTCATAACACAGAACTAAATAAATAATTGCTCGAAGACAAACGGCAGTATATGAATGTGCAACTCGCAAAGGCAACTTATCATACTATTATCGTTATAATTGAGACAGTAGTTCGCAGTACATTGTGTGTGCAAAGTTATGGCATTGTTTTAAACAGAACGCCCCGTCAACGATCTGCTGAATTTCGTACATATTCATCATGTAAATCAGTAAGCAGAGAAAATGGAAATATTACCGATATAAAAATCTCTAACATGCATGTATGTATTAAAGGTATTCTAGAAACTTAGTTTTCACTTAGTGTAGTCCTCACATCAGACGTCCAGTAAAAGTGACGATATTGTGACTGTTAATGATTAACAAAAATGTATTATTGCATTAATGAATATATACGTACTTTTACGATGGATGTCTTGGATTAAAAAAGTAAGACAAATTCATTTTAATAGAAATAGTACTTACCTTGAGAAAACGGAACGACAAGGAGTATGGAGGACCACTTGATAATCCAGTAGATCCAACAAAGAGAGCTTTTCATGGTTATATAGATTTGACAGTAGTAGTTCCACGTGTCACAGAAGAGCCTTATGGTTGACAAATAAGATCCATTACCGCGTTTACATGTACTGTGTGCCATCCACGGCGGCAATGTAACGTCCACATCTTTTCTACCCACACCAAATAGCAAATCAACATTTACCACTGACAGCTCTCGACGAATATTCCTTGCCTCTTCTCGCTGTGTTGTTGTGATCACTGGTTATGTTTGAATTATTGCCCGAGCACCCGGCGCTGGCGCTGACGTGACGAGGTTGACTTTCTCTTAATTTGTAAACCTTGGGCACTGCAAAGCTGATAATAAGGTCGACTGATCGCCAAGAGAGAACCAGGAAAATAAATAATGCTTAAATATTGAGGTACCAAAATAACTTAACTCACGTTTCTGGAAACTTATTATCGGGAACCACAGACAATTTTTTCATAGGTGTAACAACTATACCGAGACATGTTGACAGTGAACAAAGGTGTACCGACACAATGAAGCGATGACTGGAACTGTCTATTCAGAAATCGTGCGATGACTTAACTCATTTCCTCACACAACTTCAATGCGAATAATTCCATAAAATATTATTCGGCTGTTATTTGCCGAACTGTTGTTGTGCCCTTCATGTCGTCTGTCTCTAGTCTGAAACGACAATATGAAACCATAGGTTAAATGCAAATACACACATATTACATATAGGAGCTATGATTAGAAACCAGAGACGTTGTGAGAGAGGTTCCAAGTCCCGTCCAAAAACAGGATATTACCGACAATATAAAGCTGGCTAAACCTCAAATACATTGTGTATAACAGCAGTATTATGACGACATTCCGTTCAACACGAAGCTTTATTATCAGATCTAGAATTTTGATGATATTGTGTTTTACATACAATAAAAATCGGCGCAATCAAGATAACCAATTCCAAAGTTTCTTGACACATCAAAACGTCTGAGCAATTATAATGAAATTTTTATTTGTGCGAAAAACAAACTAGGTCATTTCTGTGTATTAGCATATATATAAACCACTGTGTACGAGGACACTCTCGCTGTAGTTTAATGTCCTCCGTCATGAAGACGAATTAATCTTTATGTTTAACATTTGTAAACAAAATAATACAAATACCAAATTTATGTGAGGGCAAATCTACGATATACTGTAACCGGGTTTTAACTTCAAAAGGCGAAACTTCCCTGTATACAGCATTTATGCTGAATATGGCTCATTCAAGTGTGCCTAACGCACATGCAACATTACATAATTCGACAAAAGACGGCATATTTATGCAACCGAACCGGATCAGTCGGTTGGCCTGTGGAGACTTTTGGTGAATACGGTTATGATAATCACACAACGTTTAGCCCTCCGTCCATTTAACTGTTTACCATTACACCGACAAAAATAGACAGAGTAATGCATTTCATAATCAAACCTTTTACGTTGATGAACACGTATATTTGTTTACCGGAGGATGTATCTGCTGTCGGAGGCCTTAACAGATAGCTCGACAATGTTGTTACATTCCTCTGTGTTTTATTCGTACACACCGTCTCTGTTTGCTGATTGACTATAACCGCAATGTGTTGATCAATCACAGTCCAATACTGTTTAATAGGCTTTTAACGCTTTTTCGTTTCATACAACAGAACTCTCATTCGGATTTGTAAACGTTATTTGATTTGCCATCAGATTCGTCAATGATGAGCCATTTTATTAAACTAGACCTATTTGCTGTGTATATAAAGTGGCAGTCGATTGCATTATCGGTAAATGTATACGGTTTATATCATATTACTACGACTATCAAACTGGGTTTGTGAATTCAACAAACGATAAGAAAATCGATGCAACTTCATATCATATATAGTTTTGTATGTATTGCCCCACAACAGATCCAAATGCAGGGCCCTTTGCGGTGTATGTATACAGCTTCACAGTATATAGGTATATCTTAACATTATCTGCAGCATCACAATATATGTATACTGCTCCATTACCTCACTAGCATCACAATATGTTTATGCATAAACACTACATATTACAAGATATGTGTACTTCTGCATTGATTCTCTATCATTGAAATATTTGTACACCACCTCCCCAGCATTGAAAATGTATATACAGCTTAATAACTCCTCCAGCATTAAAACATATATACAGCTACGTTACCTTTCTAGCATAAGCACATATATATACAGCTACATTACCTCCAACGTATTACATTAGAATGTATATACAGTTTCGTTACTTCCAAAGCATTACATTAAAATGTATATACAGCTACATTACCTCCCAAGTATCACAATATATTTATACATAAACATTACATATTACAAGATATGTGTATTTCTGCATTGATTCTCTATCATTGCAATATTTGTATAGAGCTACATCTCCCCAGCTTTGAAAAAAATTATACAGCTTAATAAACCCTACAGCATTAAAAAAATATATACAGTTATATTACCTCTCTAGCATTAGCATACATATATATATATATAGCTACAATACCTCTTCGGTAATGGAATATATATATTTATACAGCTGCATTACCCCTTTAACGGTATCACCATTTCAAATGCATAATCAAGGTACTTTACCTCTCCAGTATTAATAATGTATATACAGCTATATTACCTCTCGAGCATTACATTAGCATTTAAATACAGCTACATTACCTCTCAATCATTACATTAGAATCTATATACAACTACATTACCTCCCGAGCATTACATAAGAATGTATATACACCTACATAACCTCCCGAGCATTACATTACAATGTATGTACATTTACATTACCTCCCAAGCATTACATTATAATGTCTATACAACTACATGACCTCCCAAGCATTACGTTAGAATGGATCCTCAGCTACATTACCTCTCCAGCATTACACAAGAATGTATATACAGCTACGTTACCTCTACAGCATTACAATGTAATGTATATACAGCTACAATACCTCCCAAGCATTACATTATACTGTATATACAACTACATTACCTCCCAAGCATTACGTTAGAATGTATCCTCAGCTACATAACCTCTCCAGCATTACACAAAAATGTATATACAGCTACGTTACCTCTTCAGCATTACAATGTAATGTTTATACAACTCCATTACCTTCAAAGCATAACATTATAATGTATATACAGCTACATTACCTCCCAAGCATTACATTAGAATGTATATACACCTACATTACCTTCAAAGCATTGCATTATAATGTGTTTTCAGCTACATTACCTCCCAAGCATTACACTATAATGTATGTAGAGCTACATTACCTCTGCAGCATTACACTTGAATGTATATACAGCTACATTTCCTCCCAAGCATTACATTAGAATGTATATAAACCTACATTACCTTCAAAGCATTGCATTATAATGTGTTTTCAGCTACATTACCTCCCAAGCATTACATTATAATGTATATACAATTACATTAGCTCCAAAGCATTACATTATGATGAATGTACATTTACATTACCTCCCAATCATTACATTATAATGTATATACAACTACATTACCTCTCAAGCATTACATTATAATGTATATAAAATTACATTACCTCTCAAGCATTACATTATAATGTATATACAATTACATTACCTCTCAAGCATTACATTATAATGTATATAAAATTACATTACCTCTCAAGCATTACATTATAATGTATATAAAATTACATTACCTCTCAAGCATTACATTATAATGTATATAAAATTACATTACCTCTCAAGCATTACATTATAATGTATATACAATTACATTACCTCTCAAGCATTACATTATAATGTATATAAAATTACATTACCTCTCAAGCATTACATTATAATGTATATAAAATTACATTACCTCTCAAGCATTACATTATAATGTATATACAGCTACATTCCCTCCCAAGCATTACATTAGAATGTATACACACCTACATTACCTTCAAAGCATTGCATTATAATGTGTTTTCAGCTACATTACCTCCCAAGCATTACATTATAATGTATATACAGCTACATTACCTCTCAAGCATTACATTAGAATGTATATACACCTACATTACCTTCAAAGCATTGCATTATAATGTGTTTTCAGCTACATTACCTCTCAAGCATAACAGTATAATGTATGTAGAGCTACATTACCTCCCAAGCATTACACTATAATGTATGTAGAGCTACATTACCTCTCCAGCATTACACTTGAATGTATATACAGCTACATTACCTCCCAAGCATTACATTATAATGTATATACAGCTACATTACCTCCAAAGCATTACATTATGTTGAATGTACATTTACATTACCTCCCAATCATTACATTATAATGTATATACAACTACATTACCTCTCAAGCATTACATTATAATGTATATACAATTACATTACCTCCCAAGCATTAGACAGGAATGTATATACAGCTACGTTACCTCTACATCATTACAATGTAATGTTTATACAGCTACAATACCTCCCAAGCATTACATTATACTGTATATACAACTACATTACCTCCCAAGCATTAGACAAGAATGTGCATACAGCTACATTACCTCCCTAGCATTACACTAGAATGTTTATACAGCTACATTACCTCTCAAGCATTCCATTATAATGTGTATACAGCTACAATACCTTCCAAGCATTACATGAGAATGTATATACAGCTACATTACCTCCCAAGCATAACATTAGAATGTATATACAGCTACATTACCTCCCTAGCATTACACTAGAATGTGTATACAGCTACATTACCTCTCAAGCATTACATTATAATGTATATACAATTACATTACCTCCAAAGCATTACATTATGATGAATGTACATTTACATTACCTCCCAATCATTACATTATAATGTATATACAACTACATTACCTCTCAAGCATTACATTATAATGTATATACAATTACATTACCTCCCAAGCATTATACAAGAATATGTATACAGCTACAATACCTCCCTAGCATTACACTAGAATGTGTATACAGCTACATTACCTCTCAAGCATTACATTATAATGTATATACAATTACATTACCTCCCAAGAATTAGACAAGAATGTGTATACAGCTACATTACCTCCCTAGCATTACACTAGAATGTGTATACAGCTACATTACCTCTCAAGCATTCCATTATAATGTGTATACAGCTACAATACCTTCCAAGCATTACATGAGAATGTATATACAGCTACATTACCTCCCAAGCATTACATTATAATGTATATACAGCTACATTACCTCCAAAGCATTACATTATGTTGAATGTACATTTACATTACCTCCCAATCATTACATTATAATGTATATACAACTACATTACCTCTCAAGCATTACATTATAATGTATATACAATTACATTACCTCCAAAGCATTACATTATGTTGAATGTACATTTACATTACCTCCCAATCATTACATTATAATGTATATACAACTACATTACCTCTCAAGCATTACATTATAATGTATATACAATTACATTACCTCCCAAGAATTAGACAAGAATGTGTATACAGCTACATTACCTCCCTAGCATTACACTAGAATGTTTATACAGCTACATTACCTCTCAAGCATTCCATTATAATGTGTATACAGCTACAATACCTTCCAAGC